ATGGGATACCTTTCTATTTATTTGTATCTTCAAAAATACCATGTAGCCTTCAGAGTAGAGATCTTTTACCTCCTTAGTTAAATTTATTCCTGATTTTATTGTTTGTGGGACAAATTTCTTTATTAGAAAATTCATTATTAGTGTATAAAAACATTCCTGATTTTGTATCCTGCAACTTTACTGAGTAAGCCAATAAATGAATTAATTGGTTAAAACTAACAATTTTGGGGGCAGAGTCTTCAGCATTTTCTTTATATAAAATCATGTCATTTGCAAATAGAGACAATCTTATTTCTTCCTTTCCAATCCTGATAATTGTATTTCTCCTACTTACCCAATTGCTCTAGCTGAGACTTCTAGTACTATGTGAATAAGAGTGGTGTGAGTAGGCTCCTTTGTCTTTTCTGGTTTTAGAGGAAAAGCTGTCAGTCTTTCACCATTGAGCATGATGTGGGAAGAGTGAGTCTTTAATCTTGGCTCACATGAAAAGAACCATTATCCTTTGTCATGTTCTGGAGACTCCTAGAGGATTCTAGAAAAGGGGCAGTGTGTGTGACCCCTGATATATGAACATTGGAGTAAGATGAATTTGGGTCCAAGTAATGACTTATCAGTGTGCCCTGAATATGAAAATAAGTGCACAGCCTTGTGGGATGAACTTAGCTATTTTTATTTTAGAGATGAGCAAAGAAGGGTTCCAATGTGTTAACATCCTGTAAATTTATTGGGAAATCATTAGAAAATATGTCTTTAGTGCCTTCAGAGTGCCATTCACAAAGAAAAACTAGTGAGCAAAACAGACTAAGCCCCTTTCTTCCAGCATTTGCTATTAGTCCTCTTTGTGGGGAAGCAGTCAACAAACAAGTAGACATGACAGGTGTGCTAGAGAGAAGATCAGAAAATAAGGTGGTCAGGGCGTGTCAGACAGGGGGGCTGCTATTCAGGATGGGGAAGTCTACAAAGACTTTTCTAAGAAGGTGATGGCAAGTGTAGACTAAAGGAAGGGAGAGGGTAAACCATAGTTTTAGGCAGAGACCACCCAGTGCAAAAGACCTCTGCAACAGGTGGGCCTGACCTGTTCAAGGGAAAGGAGGCCAGTGCCCAGTGCGGCTGGCACAGAGAAGGGGTGACGTCAGATAGGTGACAGGAGCCAGTGAGTGAAACTTCCGTTGGCCACTGGAAGGTCTGAGTAGGGGTTACACTCCTGCTGCTGTGGAGAGGATCTCCCAGGACTTGACAAAGGGCCAGCTCAGGGGCTAGTGCAGAGATTCAAGGAGAAAACAGCTGTGGCTTGGACCAAGATGGTAGCCGTGAGAAGTGACTGGGTTCTGGGTATATTTTTAAGATAACTAATTGGGTTTGTTAATGGTTTAGCACAGAGCTATGAGGAAATAAAATAAAGATGACTATACGGTTTCAGCCTGAACAACTTGAGGGATGGAATTGTCATTTGCAGAAATGGGGATGAGCAGTTGGGCTGGGGGGAGTGAAAAATAGGCATTTTATTTTGCATATGATACATTTCAGAGGAGGAGCTGGGTGTACCAGCCTGGAGTCTAAAAGAGAGATCACTCTGGATTCCTTAGTCTTTACATGGTGTTCAAGGCCAAGGGAGTTCAAGGCTAGAGGAGAATGTCTGAGGACTGAGCCTGGTGCCGTCTTTTGTTTAGCTGTCTGGAGGATGAGCAGAAAACAACAAACAGAAAAAGACTGTATGAAGCCAAAGGAACAGTCAAGAGTGGTGCTGAGAGCCAACCAGAAAATGTGTTTCAAGGATGGTGATCAATGATTCAAAAGATGCGGAGAGACTGAATAAGCTGGGAACGGGTAACTGACTATTGGATTTCCCCACAGAGCTTAGTGATGGCCTTGACAAAGAGCAGCTTAGTGGAGTGAGAGGTAGGGTCAAATTCTGCTGAAAATGGATTCAAGAATGAGAGGGACAATGTGGGCAATTCCTTTGAGAACCTTTGTGTGAAGAGAAGCAGAGAAATGCTGCAGAAGCTGTAGGGGAGCACGGAATAGAAGGATAGAGACTAGGACTTTTTATTTTTACTTCGTTTTTACTTTTGATGGGAGATATGCGTGTTAGTGTGTTCACATAGAAAGTAAAACATGATTATGGTGACGGAGAGAGGGGGAGTCAGGAGAGATGTCCTTGGAAAGGTGAGGCATCCTGGGCTCCACTTCCCAGTGCAGGGTGGCCCAGACCACGGCGCTCATGTGGGTGACGGCAGAGACGGTGGATACAGATTGAACAGACAGTGGATGAGAGGTGAAGCCCATGGAACCCATTCTTATGACTCCCTTTTATTCTGACATAGAAGGCAGACCAAGTTGGGCATCATGCCATGCACTGAGGGGTTGCCGGTTCTGTTCCTGGTCAGGGCATATGCCCAGGTTGGGGGCTTGATCCCTGGTGGGGAGCATGCAGGAGGCAGCTGATCAATGTTTTGTTCTCACATTGATGTTTCTCTCTCTCTCCCTCTCCCTCTCTCTCTAGAAAAACAGCTGTGGCTCTGAGAGAGAGAAGAAAGTGTGCGATGAGCACCTAAAAGAGGAGCAAGTGGGACAGGGCTATGCGAGGGATCCCGGCAGCACTGAGGATGCACTGCTGACGAGTGTCATGAATTCAAAGAGACCAGACAGCAGAGATGCACTTTTCCTGAGCTCTTGTCAGCTGCAGAGGTGCCGGAGTAGAGTGACTGAGTTAGACTTCACGGGGATGGATCGCCCAGCAATTAGCAGAGACTCACTTTCGCTTCAAGTCCAGGGCTCCTCCCATTCAACCTCCCACTCCATAAGCACCTCTTGCCACTCCTCTCTCCCCTTCTGTTCACAGGAGAAACAGAAGGGCCAAGAGTTTAAGAGGCTTCCCTCTGCTTTGTTTCTGTTTAGTTTCATGGGCCAAGAGTTTAGATGCAACTCATTTGCTCTAAAGGAAATGTTAACTCCTGAGAACTTAGAGCAACCTCCTTGAAATCTGAGAGTAGCTCCAGCGTCGGATAGGAACACCAGGGCTTGGCTGTGTCTTGCCGGGTGGCTGCCTCCCGAGGGCCTGTGGGTGCCTGAAGAATCAGCTTGCTCCTCAAACGCTGAGTAAGCCAAGACAAGCACTCTTCAGGGCACTGGGAACAAAGCTCGCCATCCCCAGTAAGACAGTACGGAGCTTGCAGCCTGGCAGGGGCTGCCCCAGGAATGGATGTGCCTACAACTGCTTGTCCCGGTTTGTTTTCCTCATGGGATGCACAGCCCATGGGGAAGACCCCATGAGCCCTCCACACACCTGGAGCTGGGTAGAAGTGCCCCACAGACTGGCCATGGTCCAGGCATCTCACAACTGATATTGGGCAAGTTGGGTTGGTGTTGGCAGGTCCCTTCCAGGGGGGAAGCAATCTGGGACTACTGGCTCCCAACGGCCCCCCTGCCTGCCTGCCTGATTTCCCCTAACTGCTTCTGTCTGCCTGCCTGATCACACCCTAACCCAGTGATGGTGAACCTATATGACACGCATCAAAGGTGACACGTGAACTCATTTTTTTGGTTGATTTTTCTTTGTTAAATGGCATTTAAATATATAAAATAAATATCAAAAATATAAATCTTTGTTTTACTATGGTTGCAAATATCAAAAAATTTCTATATGTGACACGGCACCAGAGTTAAGTTAGGATTTTTCAAAATGCTGACACGCCGAGCTCAAAAGGTTCACCATCACTGATCTAGGGGATGCCTCTGAGTCGTTTACCAATCCTAACAGGGCAGCAGGCACATCTCTGACTGGTCTTTCCTTGGAGTTCAATTGAAACCAAGAAAACAGGCAAAAAGACCCTTGGGGAGGCTGAGCAGGGAAAAGGGGGTAGGAAGTCTCCAATGTAATTGTGTGAACCAGCCCATGGCCTCCTTCTGCCACACCTGCCTTGTCTACTCTGCCTGCCTAATTGTCCCTAGTGTGGTTATGTGGGTGCAATGAGGAGAAATCCTCATTTTAGCTTTCAAGTAGGAATGTTTTAGGATATACAGACCCGAAGAGAAGAACAAACAGCTGGACCACTCAAGGGACCTTCTCAGACACTCCTTTCCCTTGTGGGCAGCCCCATCTCACCTCCCTCTAGAGCTAACAGGTCTCTCATCCCCACTTCTCTCTCCAACCCATTTCATCCAGTTGTAGCTCCCTCTGCTCCTCTGTCTCTACTACCTACAGTTCCCTATCCAGGGTCTCAGCTGTAAGCAGAGAAGCCTACGGCCCTGAAGAGGTCTGAAACAGCTTGGTGCTCCTGGACAGAAAACTGGGCTCCCATGGGCCTGCACCTCTGGCAGAAAAAACTTCTGTTTCTAACTCAGAGCTCGGCCTCACATAGGCTCTCACTGGCAGTCCCTGTGGGTCAGGTCACCCCCAAAAGAACCTGCTCCCCTCAGGGCTCAGCTTCTCCAGGACTGGATGGCATTCTAGCTTCTCTGACTCCTTCCCCACCCTTAGCATGCGTTAGGAAAATGCTCCCTGAGTTGTGAGTCCCGCCCCCTGACTGCAAGGTCCATGAAGTCAGAGAGGAAGCTGTCTTTCCCGAAGTCTCCACGCCACCTAGAACAGGCCTGGCATGGCAGCTATCAGCTGACTAAATACAGTAAGGGCCAGCAGCCATGCAGAGCATGAAAGACCAGGGACTTTATTTTTAACTAGAGACCCGATGCAAGAAATTCATTCAAAGGGCTTGGTCCTCACAGCCCCCAGCTTCGTCTGGAAGTTCATGGACGGTCGTTCTGCTGTTCAGTCTAATTAGCATATTAGCTCTTTATTATATAGGATGCTATGTCATTGTGAAGAGTCTACCTCATTCTGAAAAGTTAACCCAGGGATTGCTCATTCCTAGAGTTAGAACAGTGGTAGAGTGTGTGGACCAGCACGGCACCGGCTCTTGGGGAACCCACAAAACCCCAACCAAGAGGCTTCTCCCCACCTGTCAGCTAAGAGTGAGAAGCTCAAGTTGAGTCACTCATAGCTAGTTGGTGTCTGAGCTTCGCTGAGGTAGAAGTAGAGGCAGGTGTGGACTGATTCCAGTGCGGTGAACCCTAGGGGACAGCAGCCTGAGAGAGCGGGGAAATGGCTGCCATGCACACTGTTCCAGTCTAACCCTCCTGTCTCCTGGTGCTACTAAGCCTAGGGTCGCAGCTGGGAGCCAAGACTGAGACTCAAGGCAAGGGGCGTGTCTCACATCCCAGGGTGAGCAGAGAGACCAGGACTCAAGCACTGGCCTACTAGCCTTCACAGCCACGCTTGTCTCAGGACACCACGATGGCCTCCTCTAACCCTTCTCTGGTCCTCCAGTCCATCCTGCACCTTAGCAACCACACTGTGGTCACCCGTAGGAGGGAGGATCTGGGCTCAGTGGTGAGGCTCACACTGTGGCCTCCTCTAACCCTTCTCTGGTCCTCCAGTCCATCCTGCACCTTAGCAACCACACTGTGGTCACCCGTAGGAGGGAGGATCTGGGCTCAGTGGTGAGGCTCACACTGTGGCCTCCTCTAACCCTTCTCTGGTCCTCCAGTCCATCCTGCACCTTAGCAACCACACTGTGGTCACCCGTAGGAGGGAGGATCTGGGCTCAGTGGTGACGCGGTCACGTTGAGTCTGGGACAAGAGAGTCTGGAGGACAGAACGCCCTGGGCTCAGACATCATTGGTGTTTGTGTGAGCCTCCCTTCCCAGCACGGTTGACTGTGGACCAGAGAGAATGAGGTAGAAAGTGGGAAGGGCTGACCTCCGTGAGGACAGAGCCCTGCCGGTCAGGCTCAGCCCTGTGCAGGGTCCAGGACGGTGCTGGGTAGCACTTGAGAGAGTCAGGGCCTGGCTTTCAGAGGGCCCCTGTGTGGGAAGAAAGTCTCCGGTGCGGGGGTCCTCGGCAGGGCCCTCAGGGATGGGCCTGTTTGTCTCCCACTAAAGCCTGACCAGCCCAGAGTGGAGGTCTCCTTCCCACAGCCGCCAGCAAACACCAGGGCCCCCGCCCAAAGCCATCCCTTCTGAGCAGAGGGCTGCCTTGTTTTTCAGAGGGAATTCCAGCAAAGCCAAGGACACCTGGGGAAAGGGTGCAGCTTTCCCAGCTCAGGGTCAGTGGAGGAGGGGGGCAGGTGAGCTCCCAGAGCACTGGCTCATGTTTAGCATTACAATGGCCTGTTTTCCACTCACCACTGCAGCTAGAATTACATGCCCCTGGGGCCTGAGGAAGGAAAACCAAGTCCTGAAAACTCCAAATGCTAACACTAATTTTCATGTGGTCCGCTGCTGCATTTGAGTACATGTCTTTATTAGAACAATTATAAGTGCATATACAGTACATCTTTTCATGGATACGAAAGTAGAAATTGTTTCTCAAAAGGAATTGTTACTTATTAAGAAAGCACACTGCAGACAGGAAGCTGCCTTCTCCTGGACCATGTTCACATTATCTGGGAGATGCAATTTAAACAAAACAAGATACAGTATTTATCACATTGAACACTGAACCCATCCCTGCTCAGGGGCTGAGAGTCCAGCGAGGCTGGGGACTAAGGACTTCCCTGTGGGGTTTGTCAACTCGGCTATGTCAGTGGTCTGCTGAGAGGACATGGGTGGTTCCCGGGGTGGGTTCCCTCAGGAAGGGTCAGAGAAGATGTGTGGAGGGGCGAGGATCCCACAAATCTCATCCAGCGGCGGAAGGGCACTTCCCTGAGAAGGGTGATGCAGTCCCAGTGAGGGAGCCGTGTGGCCACACCAGGCAGTATTCAGAAAAGGAAGGTGCCATTGAACCCCCCTCAGGACTCCCAGGGGCGCAGCAGCCTTTGCTACGCAGGCCCTCTGCTCAGACAGGCAGGGGGCTCCTTCTGAGGCTCCTCGCTGGGTTCTCAGCACCTGGCCAGAGCAGGACAAAGAACAGTACGAACAACACATGGCACAGATTCAGGTTCCAACACACAGCACACAAGTGAGCCCCAGTCCCCAGAGTTCACCCCACGTGATGCAGAGGCTGGCGGGGAAGGGCTGCCCTGGAGGTTACGCTGAGCCCGAGGGAAGGTCAGGTAGAGTCAGCGCTGGACCTGGAGGAACAGCTGGGTGACCCTGATCACCTGATGCACTTGACTTGAGTTTTGAAAGCAAGAGGGAGAGCCTTTCTTTTGGAAAGGGACTATTTAAATGTGTGTGCTTTAGCCGGAATGTCTCCTTTCAGGAGCCGATTGCAGATACAGAAGTTGTTACACAAATAATTTTCCCTGCAGCTTCTACTCTTACCTATTTCCCCTCCTGTCAGGAGACACAGAAATGACTCTATATTTAACTGCAGTCAAGATTTAGGGCCGTATTTCCTCTGACTTAAGAGTTTAGTGGCTCTGGCTCATGGATTCTAGGGGAAGAAGCTTCCACATTTTCCATGAGGTTTTTAAATATCTTGGAAATGTTTTTAAATACCTAGAAACCGAGCCTCCCACTGAAAATGCAATAATAATTTCATGTATAATTCAGGAGCCCTGTAGTGACAGGTTAATTTTAAAAGAGGGTTTAGAAACCAGTCCTGCCTGCCTTATAACTGATAAAAGCCCCCATGCTCTGTTTCCAATAGAAGGTAGCCGCTTGGAGGAGGTGAATACCTGTTTGGTTGATGGAATGGCTTTGTAGCATGAAGATTCACTTTTAAGAAATACTTATGGAAATGCCTAACACCTGTTCCTGATAATCCAACGATTATTAAATCTACAAACACCTACAATTCAAATTCATTTCCCTGTAACGTACTTCCTGCATGCTGTTTGCAGGGGCCTGTCAATGGATACATCCCTTGTTTTGCCTTCTTTTTTTCCACTTTCTTAATTTTAAAAACTTTACTGGATCTTTAATCAAAGGGGGAAAGTATCAGTGAGACCAAATAAAAAAACAAAACAAGCAAAAACCCTCAGTGCCTCCCTTTTTAAAAAGTGAAATTTTTAAGTTGTTTAATGTAATTCCACAAAATGCCCTCAGCAAAGGGAAACATCTCCAGCAGCAGGGCTCTTTGCCAACTTCCCACACATCCATCTAAGAGGGAGGCCGGGTGGGCCTTCCAGACACAACCGTAACAGCAGCAGCAGAGGTGTCCAGGGCCACAGTCAGGTGAGGCATGATGGGCTGCCCGATGGGGAAGAGATGAGGTCAGATTTAATCAGGAAAACAATACCCACAATGAAGTATTTTATAGATTGTGTTTTCAAAACGAAGATAACAACTCTTTTCTTGTTATTTCTGTTATTCTCAAAAGAATGCTGGCTTGACCCAATAAAGGCACAACTGTCTGTTGCTCTGAGCTATCCCCACCTATGGAAACGTGCGGGTCCGTGTCCTTGGAGGTCAGCACTGCTGCACACTGGCTTCCCTGGGGCTCCGTCCATCCACCGTGGCTTTGTGCTCAGTGGGGAAAACAAGGCCACCCCACCCACGTCATGGCAGCCCTCACCAGGGGCCGGGCTCAAGTCCCCCGGGCAGCTCCTCTCCCTCGGCCTCTGCATGTGGGGAACTGACAAGGCAGCACCGAGGACACGGCTTTGAACAAGAAAACAGGATCAGACAACAGACAATATTGCAAAGTAGACACAGATGTGCACAGCGCTTCCAGGACCTGGTAACAGAATACACTTTGGTTTGTTTCTTGAGAGTTTAAACAAAAGCTTTTGTCTTGAGAGTCCTTCCCGGGTCACAGACAGTCTCAGATGCACATGGTGATGGATGAGAGAGAGGATGATGCGAAGAGCGTGATGAGATGGAGAGGAGAGCGCAGATGAGGCCCTGCCCTGGCCTCCCTCCTGCTGCCTGCCTGGAAACCCCTGCCTGGCCCTCTAGAACCTACCTCCCGCCCCCCTGTGGCCGCCTTTCGCTGGGGTTTGCCTGCAGATGGGTCCTGACCCTCCTGGTGGCTCTGCCCCTCAGCCTGGGGTCCCAGCCTGTGCAGCTCAGAGGCCTACAACACTCAGGGACCCCTAGTCAGACTGGGGCTCCACGCTACAGATATAATAATGCACAGAAAATAATGGTTTTTGTCTAAGTTCCTATTTGTCACCAGTGACATTGGATAATTGAGCTAAATGAAAAAAAAATCCAAATATATTTTGCTACATAATCAAACGGTGAAAGTAAGGTAAATTGTGCAAAACCAAGCCCTGGGAGCACACTGGGCCCTGCCCCGCTGCGCCAGGTGACCACGGGGCCCTTCCTAACACTGGCTTCGCCCAGCCTCCCCCCGGAGGCCTCCTGGGCGTTGACCCAGCCTGCGCCTCTCACATCTTGAACCTCCTGTTAACAAGAAGAGAGGGAGACACCATTAAGGCAGGTTCCCGCGGAGGCCCGGCCTCGCATGAGGCACCCAGCCCACCGCAGAGGCAGCTCCTGACCTCCCTTCCGAGGCCCTGGGGAGGGGAGGGCAGTGAGAGACAGCATGGCCATGGCGAAGCACAGGGTGGCAGGAAGGTGGGAGGGGGAGAGGACAGATGGGCAGAAGCATGATCGTGGCAGATGAATGAGGGCACAGAGCCAGGCTGGTGCAGAGGCCACAGGACAAGACAAGCCTTCGCCACTGCAGACCTCACACACCACTCACCTGGAGCAGACACATGGACATTGCCCAGTGTCAGCCCGGCTCAGCACCGAGGCCTGGCTCTTCGGCTCTTCCCCAGCTACCCAGGACTCTTCCACGGGGCCAGGGGTATGCCTGCTTGTCAGACACAGTGAAGCCCAGGGCCAGTGGAGTCATGTAACGACCGGACGATGCTGGCCCGAAGGTCCTAACCCTGGGCCAGCTCCCTTAGTCCCCGCAGCCCTCTCTCCACAGGACAGGAGGGGCACTGTCCCCCTGAGCACTGGTTTGTCACCGGAGGCTGGCCACAGCTTGACCTGTTGCTGAAGGGCAGCTGCTCCTGTGCTCAGGGAGGACCTGTCACCCTCTCTAGCAGAGGTGGCTGCTCCCACAGTGTAAAGAGCGAAGGACAGCATGAGGCACAGGTCTGCTCTTCTGTCTCGCTGGCGCATGTGCAAATTAGGAACAGCCCAGCCAGGCTCCCTGACCAGGCCTGCTG